TTAACATTAAATGAGAAAGGTCTATTTAATGTTAAAGTTACTTTCCCTCAATGGAATATATACTAGTCAGTCCCAGTAACCGTTTCACTCACGGTTTAGCCGATGTGTTTCCTGGGTAAAGATCAACCAAAAAACGCAGACCAACCTCCCCGCCCCTCGCTCAACAGTTTCTGGTAGCGCAGGCGATAAACGTCAGGGGCCTGGTGATTCGTTAGGGGTCCGGTAATTAGCCCCGCCCCCCGGCCCAACGCTGACTTGTTCCGCTAGTGAATCTGGGTACAGAACGGAATCACAACTGTTGTCAACACATAGTGCTTAAGTTAAAGCGTGATTAACCCTCACCTAAAAGGGGTTGTGCTGTGGTGGCGCAGGGGTTAAGCACAAACCACAATCAAGGACTCAGTTTTTCCCCAAACCTTATCCTCAAGGCAAACTGACCTGCATGCTTTTAGTTCAGCAAAACCCTGTTAATCAGATGTCAATTAAAATCATGTGTGCTGAATTAGGGAAATGCCTAAAACTTGCAGGGCAGTGTGCCTGGTGCCAGTGCTGAAAAACACTGGATTCGATGTGGCATTTCAATCAATGAATGTTAATTGGCTAGAATTGAATGGTTGATCCAGCTTCTGTCGTTGACCTGAACCATACATGCAGCCTTTGTGGTCATAATTCAACATTAAATTAACATCGTGTGCCATCTGGGTAGTTCTTCCCCAAACCTTGACGCCAATCAAACTGACCTGCGTTTTTTCAGTTCAGCAAAACCCCGTTAATCTGACGTCAATATCATGTGTGTTGAATTAGGGAAATGCCTAAAACTTGTAGGGCCTGGAGGACCAGTGCTGAAACACACTGGATTCGACGGCATTTCATTTATTTGATGTCAACCACAAAACAACATTGATTCAATGACACAGTTTCAACATTAGTTAATTGGCTAGAATTGAATGGTTGTTTTATAGTTGATCCACCATCAGTTGTCGACCTCAACCAAACATGCAACCTTTGTGATAATAATTCAACATTGAATTAACATCTTTTGCCAACACGCCAACAGCGAATCAGCTGTGTGTTTGGGACATCCCACTCATGTAAATGGTGGGGGTGGACTGCTTCACTCCTTGTAGTTGTAGATGTTTTCGTGTCAATATATCACAGACAAACAGTCAGTAAGAATTTTTAACAAGTAAAAAAATGTACAGAAAGGAATCACCACTCACTATCCTCTACAGTGTTATTAAAAATGTGATAACCCCTGCTCAGTAATAAAATGCTCTCACCCAGAGCGCTGATGAGGAGGAGGAGAGGAGGGGAAGGGCTGCGGCAAAACAGCTGACATTGATTCAACATTGATCAGATGTTGATCAGACATCGGCATTTCAGTCATTAGATTTCAACCACAAAACAACATTGATTCAATGACACAGTTTCAACATTAGTTAATTGGCTAGAATTGAATGGTTGTTTTATAGTTGATCCACCATCAGTTGTCGACCTCAACCAAACATGCAACCTTTGTGATGATAATTCAACATTGAATTAACATATTTTCCAACAAGCCAACAGCGAAGCAGCTGTGTGTTTGGGACATTCCACTCATGTAAACGGTGGGGGTGGACCGCTCCACTCCTTTTAGAAGTTGTAGATGTTTTTGTGTCAATATATCACACACACACAGTCAGTGAGAATTGTTATGAACAAGTAAGAAAATGTACAGAAAGGAATCAGCACCCACTATCCTCTGCAGTGCTTAAGTTAAATGTGATAACCCCCGCTCAGTAATAAAATGCTCTGACCCAGAGCGCTGATGAGAAGGAGAGGAGGGGAAGGGGTGCGGCAAAACAGCTGACATTGATTCAATATTGATCAGATGTTGATCAGACATCAGCATTTCAGTCATTAGACACAGTTTCAACATTGGTTACTCGGCTAGAGGTGGATGGTTGTTTGATGGTTGATCCACCGTCATTTGTCATCTTCAACCAAAAATCAACCATTAATCAGACTTTGGCATTTCAGTGATCAGATTTCAACCACAAAACAACATTGATTCAATGTCACAGTTTCAACGGTTTGATTGGATGGTTGTTTGATGGTTGATCCACCGTCATTTGTCGACTTCAACCAAAAATCAACGATTCTAACTATAATTCAACGTTGATTTAATGTCGTGTGCTATCTGGGTTTAGTTTACAGAAAATGTTTATGTGAATTTCCTCTTTGAAAGATTTCTTTAGTTATTGTATTTGACTTAGATATATTCTGTATATTATGAAAACAATTATAACAAAGTGTTCCTTTTTACTCTCATTACTTTCCAAAAAACAGTAATGGAAATGCTAAAACCGTTTCGATGCGTAATAATTACCAACATTTAAAAACATTGTTGTCTCTTCTTCCTGCACAGTTGGCCGCTAACAGCTGCTTCAGCAGCAATAAATTAGCACAAATCAGAAAGGGAACCCTCTCAGCTTTACAAAATGTTTAAAAGCTGCAAATTATACCTGACACTAACATAGAGACCAAAGCAAATTAATGTGATCAGTTAAGCTGTTACTGAAGTCATTCCCCACTGCAAGCATGAATGTCACAACCGCCTCCCACACGGGGGAAGCTTCACACAAATGGCGAGGCTTTGAAAATACAGATGGGAGTGGGAGAGAGAGGCGACATCAGTTTAGGTCATGACCTGGAACTAATTTTGTGAATTAGCTTGATTTTGATGGCCTTGTGTTTCAGGACGTGGATTGCAGCACAGGGATATACACGTGCATCTGAATTCCAGAAGTGAGCAGAGCGTTCTCCCAGTTGTCTGTAAATTCAGTGATGTCCACTTACAAATTTGACTTTGTCATTACAGTTACATGTGGCGATCCACTGCTGTTCTGCTTTTTCTCTATTTGTGGACAACTTCTTTCATTAGGGTTTGCTGGGATTTCTTTAGATCAGTGGAAAACTCACATCTGCTATTGTCTGTCACAATGTTATTTCAAACCATGCCTCTCAATCTTCAGCCATTTTTTTTTTCGTTTTTCCCAGTGATAAAACAGAAAACCCACAGCATGCTGAACCAGAGATCCAATCTGCCCACAAAAACACCGTAGGAGGGGAAAGCGCTCTTATTGACGTGCATTCTACATCTACACACACTCACTCGCACAAAGACACGTATACATTTCTGTCTATAAGAGCTAAGACAGAGCGTGTTATTACATCGTTCCCTGGTGATTTTACTCTTTAACGGTATCCTTATTTTACAGAGGCGCTGTTCAATGAACCACGCTTTACAGCAGCATCACACAGTCCAGATTTAAAATTCAGCGCCAACAAAAGGCCCCGCTCATCAATCAATCTTGATTTTCCTGTCCTGATTCCATCATCCTTCAAGTGTCACGCGGCTCCTTTTCCTCCCCCCCCTTTTCATTTGTTACCTCCATAATTTTCCAAATAGTGTTTCTCCGTCTCCATGCGACTTGCACACCTGTCTTCATCTCCTACGAGTCATATTGGCGGATGTGCCTCTATCAAGATCAGTGATGACCATTAAAGAATAACAGATGTGTTTTCCTGCAACCCGGACTCAAAGTGTACTATGTATTTACAGGAAGCATTAGGCATGTATGCCACATACGCCAAATGTGCTGTATCAGTAAACCCTCACTTCTCATTTGCCTGATTTTCTGAGTTCTCCATCTCCTCTAAATGACTTAGATAGATACGGCCTCCTACATTCTAAATACACATCCCCCTCCATCTATCACAGTTTCCCCCTGCCTCCTCTTTGAACTGTCTCTCTTCCTTTCCCGATCCACACCATAACCTGCACACATGCAAATGTTCATATGTGATCAGCCTGCCTTTATGTCTCATCTTGAAATAAAATCGTTCGCTCATCTCTTTGATCACTAGCCATCCTGGTTAAATAGCAGGTAGCAAAGTGCTTGGAGGTGCCTGGAGGTTAGCGATAGAAAGTTCATCTGCACTGCTGCTCTGCCGCAGCAACACTGAACGCTCGCTGCTCAAAATTACGATTCGGGGCGTTGAAGCTGCCTATCCTCCTGTTAAGTCAATAAATCATAGCATCTTTCGCCCTCATGTTTCCTAAGCAGGCAAAGATAAGCTCACTGACCTTCGGGACTCAGGTTATCTAGGCAGAACAGGTGAACATGAACAAAGTATAAAATAAACTGTATCTTTCACTTGCTCTGATAGCAATATATTGATAGTATAACTATATATATATTTAATGTGTAGAGTTGTGGAGTCAACAGATATGTTAGCTTTGACTAGATCAAGAATATTAAAAAGTCTATAATATAATTTTGACTATTTATTTATTTAATTTTCAAATGTAGCATTTACAAACTTCGTAGGCCTGAACACATTTCAACCAAAGGAAGGCTTGTTTTGAACACATTTTTAAAATAAATTCATAGTTATTACTAGCTTAAAAGATGCCACATCGACAAGCTGAGCAAGTGAAACTTAATCTCAGCGGTTACCTTTATGATAAGAGTGAACCTCTGATACAGGTCTCTGCTGACTGGTTTCAGAACGCGCAGCACTGCAGTGGTCTGGTTCAGGGAGAAATACTCTCGATATGTGTTCGGTTGACCTGCGAAAAGCAAAAAGGCAACACCAGCAACATCAGAGTGAACATTCAAAGTACAAGTCATGACATAGGTGACCCAGAAGGATCCTTTTTTTTTTTTTTTTTTTTTTTTCAATAAAGGTTTCTAAGGAACCTACCGACCAAGATGTAATAAAGAATGCCAGGTCTGTCCGACGGGGGCTGGATGTTTCTATCCATGTCCACAGCACGGATAGGTGGGGTCACATTCAGAGGGTTCAGTTTAATCTGCATCAAAGGAGCAGATGGGAGTCAGAATCAAGATGGAAAATAAAAGTAGTAAAATACAGTTAGGGACAAAATCCTTCATACCCCTGGCAAATATAGATTTAAAGGAATCTATTAATTTAACCAGCATGTTTCATCTAACTGGAAGTAAAATTTACACTGTGAAGTGACCTGGCAACAATCCCAACTAGAATATTTTACAGAATCCGTGAAGGCTCATAATCAAAGTTGATCCTAAAATACCAGAAGAAGCATGCTAGGAGCTCCTCAGCAACTATAAAAAGGGCATTTTTATTAAGACGTAGAAGTTTTATATGTTTTTTTGTTTTGCTGTTTAGTTTTTTTAAATTGGAATTCCTTTCCATTTTTAAATAAAAAATAAAACATTCTTGATTGAATGAACACTTGCATTTAAATGTGTATACAATTTAATGAAACATTAAATAAATAAAGATAATTAAAAAATAAAGTAGTTTGTCATCATTGGGCCCTCAAAACATTTTCTATGCAGTACCACAATATTTCCTAAAATGCTGGAGGCGAATAAAAAAATGAAAAAAAAAAATAAAAAAAAAAATCTTTCCAGGTCATTGGGCACATCATAAGCACAACCAGGTAACCTCGACAGTGGCACTCTTCAGTATGGACACAGTGACTGAGAAAAGTTTCACTTCCAATCTGGCTGTAGGGCCCAGCATAGAAGTGAACTTACTGAATGTATTACATCCAATCTAAAAGATGAGATTATTATTTTTTTTTTAAAGAAGAAACTGGAGAGAAAATTCTGATAATCTCGAACATAAGTCAATGTTGGTCTTATTTTTGGCAGTAATGATCAACCAGATAAGTTGATCATCTGCAATGCCATACAACACTTTTGGAGCAGTTTCTCATCACCACATCCCTCAATGTGCCTAACAGTAATGTACATCAAGGATATTATGTTACAATGATTCTGGCTACATCCCCTGCTCCTTCTCCTGCAAACAGCTAAGCACATATTTACTCCAGTTCCACCTCCACACTAATGCACTAACATATGGTTAAGAGAAAATATGTTGAGTACTCTGCGTTAAAGAATTTCTCTCCTCATGTGAAATGCCTAAATGCTGCTGCTACAGTGTGTGTAAGCATTAAAAAAAAAAAAAAAAAAGGCCTGTGACGAACCTCCTTAGCAGACGGAGACAAGGCAAAGAGTTCTCTGGTAAAAGACCTCCTCCCTGAGGGGGTATATTTATATCTTTCAGCTCTGGAGTAATCCTTACACCCCTCACCAATCAGCCCTCTCGCTTTTACAATGTATGGAGGTGTACTAAATCAAATCCCCCTAGCTCTGCACAATGATGATTAGCTATAATACCCTCCTCCAGCAGTCATTATCCAGGGGACTCCACAGCCCACACTGTATCCCCCCAGGACAAAAAATAAATACGGATCAACTTAATATTGCCTGTCTCCCCATTGTGATTAATTACATTCACTCATCAATTACGAGAAGACAAATCCCCCAGTGGACAGACATGTTAGTATAACGATTACACAACAGAATGGAGAGGAGACAGAAATAAAATTTGAATGAGAACAGCAAAAGCTTGCGCTGATCACTCATCTTACATGCTTAAAAAGAAATCAAGAACCTGTTCTGGGTGCTTAACAAAGATGATGGGCTTCAATACACTGATGGCCCAGTTTGCTAGGAAGTATATTTCAGCGTGTATATTAATACTGTATAAATGTATAAAGGTGCATCATGAGAGACACACAAGTAGACTAAATTTGAAGGTGATGACGGTTGTGTCGCTGTCCACTTCTCACCGGTTCAGTAAGTTCAGGGATAGTAGCACGGTAGGTGAGTGGGTTGCAGTCGCGGGTGTTGTTCACCAAAATACAAGGCAGAAACATGGGACCCAGGTCATCTCCATCTAAGATATCCACAGTTAGAGTTGTAGTAGCGGATAGTCTGTTTGGTGGGTATGGAGCGCGGTCCTGGTGGAAGAAAACAGAAATTGACTCCTCAACATTGATCCAAACAATTCCTTTAACATACAAAAAAAAAAAAAAAATCATTGTCCATCATCTTCTGCCCAGTCCACTTCAAGCTGATGCAGAGTTCTGCTTCGCTCTACGACCGTCGTTTGTGAAGTAATGTGAGGTCAAATAGTGCCAAGGTTGACGTGGTTGAGTGATCTTATGATGTAAAACTTACATTTCAACAATGATATCATTGCTCATAGTCTGTCAAACGTTTTGTTGAGGAAAACAGCTCAGAGAAAACAACCAGGAACAGAGCTGTTCCCAAGAAAGCTTCCCTTTCGAAATAAATCTGCTTTGCAGCAGGAGTTTAAAAAAAAGACTAATCAGCTCAGCTTTTCAAAGATTTACCTTTTCACTGTAAAATGAACCTTGACACAAGTGGAGCAGAGATTGATCACATTACTTCCTTACATTCTGTAATTTGACAAGTACATGTCAGATTCAACAGTTTAGTCAGGTACCCATTGCCTGCTAAGAGAGACAGGTAAAAGTGGCTGAATGCTAAATTAATGTCAGTGGCGCTGAGCAGCTGTCTATTCTTCTGAAAATATTGATGAGCACAAACCATAAGGAAAGTATAATGATGCTTTCTGTCTCCCTCAGGAATCAGAGATGGGAGTAATGTCCCATCCCAATAGATATCGTTCCAGCTGCCAGACAGAAAACCACTGCGTTCAGTTTGTTGCTGAACTAAAAGACCGGGCTTGCTACTATTACTGTGAAACTCTAAGATGACAACAATGTTGCACAAAGGCTGTTTTGATTGACCATAACACAATCACTGCATAATATTTCCATAAGTAGAGTGATTCATCTGAGTGATTTAATGAGGTGAAAACTGAAAAGCGCTGTTGAATATTATCAATATGCGGGGAACGGGACACAAAAATTACTTTTCAGCATGCAGCTTGTTTTTGCAAACACTTCTATGTTTCTTTGTTTGAAACCAAACAAAGAGGTGCATAAAAAATAAAGCAAGAGAAAACATCATGACCACACTTTTTTTTTTTTTTTTTTTTTTTTTTTTTTCCCCATTTAAATTTTTGGTTACCCAACAACCAACCTCTTTTAGAGAGGGTTTTTTGCGCCCCCCCCCCT